GACTGCCGTCGACACTTCATCGGCCGCGGCCGCTTTCTCTCGTTCCTGAAGCGCTACCGTTTCTTCTTCGATCTGCGCGTCATCGACGGCGTCCGCTCCGACGTGAAGCTGCGTGACGACCTCTGCCACCCACGCCGCGGCGCTGCGGACGAGAAGTATGCCATGACGGACGTGGGCGATGTGATCAACTACGTGGCGCGGCCGGAGTTCATCGTGTCGCTCGACTCGATCGAGCAGTCCAACGCGAGCGTGCCGCTGAAGCCGGCGTGCGCCCCGCCTGCCGTGCACGTGCGACTGGAGGAGCGTGTACCGGTGCTGGAGCGCCTAAAAGCGCTTGTGCCGGTCGAGTTCGCGCTGATCGACCACGTGGAGGAGGGAGTGCCGGAGGATGTGCTGTTCCACCCGTACTTCGACTGCCAGGGTGGTCTCGCGTCGATCGCAGCAAAGTTCCCGGAGTACTTCCAGGTCGTCGACGGCATGCTGCGCCGCCGGCCGCCGCATCTCGCCCCGCTCGCACTCAATGACTACACGCTAGAGGAGTCGCCGATCCCCAGCGTCGCGGCGCTGGTGAAGCAGCAGGTCTGCAGCGGCGACATTCCACAGTGGGTGAACGTCACGTCGCTCTACGAGCAGCTTACACGAGAGCAGAAGCAGCAGATCAAGCGGGAGTTCAAGAGCTTTGCGGGATTCCTGCGGGCCCACGGCCGCTCCTTGTCACTCTCGCAGGACATGCTGCAGGTGGCGAGGTGGATTCCACAGGAACGCAAGACATCCTCACAGGCGCTATCCTCGTCGGCGTCAGCAGCGGCTGTGGACGATGCAAAGGGGACGACACCCGTGGAGGGGAGCGCGGAGGGTGCCGGAAAGGCTGCCACACCCCCAACACACTTTCAGTACGAGTACACGCACACCCATATCATCAATGAGTTGTTCGACAAGTTTCCGCCACACCGCACGCTAAATCTGGAGGAACTACTGGCGCTTGTCGCCCCAGAGATGCGGCCCTCGCTGCCCAAGAAGCTACTGCCGTGGCTCGCCTCTTACCCGTCGTACTTTGTCGTGGATGACGCAACAGAGAAGGACCCCAAGAAGGTGAGCATCCGCCGCGCCTCTGACCGTCAGCCGCTGGACGTGGCGCTGGAGCTATATCAGTGCATCCCGGAGGGCGGCATCACCGTGGCGGAGCTTCTGCCAAAGCTGCCGGAGGTGCATCGCGCATACGTACAGCAGATTGGGCTGCAGCACATCGTCGACTCTCTGCCAGAGTGGCTTTCTCTCACAAAGACAGAAGGAGCGGTGGGGAGTGATGAAGGACATCTGTTGCTAAATCGACTCCAAACAGAGGTGGATCTCGAGCGTGCGATACACACCAAGGAGTCCAGACTGGCCAATGGCAGCGATGACAAAGCGGCGATGGCGAGGGAATTTGATGAGGCAGTGATGGAGCAGCGATGGCCCAAACTAAAGTACGAGGGCAACATGAGTCGGCAGCCACATCAACACGTGACGCGCCCACACCATCTACGTGGCGGCCGCGGCGGATAGTTCATCCAGGCGAACTCTCTTGGAATTACGCAACTGCAGCTGAGGTGCAAGGTCTGCCATTACTATTCACATTGAGGAGGGGGGCGGGCATCGGAATCGCTCTGGAGGGACTCGTGGTGCCGAGTACACGGCTATGAAGCGTGCTGCTGGTACTCTCTCTCTCTCTCTATATATATATATATAATCAACCCAGTGTGTATCATACCTTCTGTTTTCTTTTTCATTTTTTTTTTCTTCGGTTTCTCTCCCCGCTTCCACGCCGAGTTCAACACGCGGCGAAAAGTAGACGACTAACCCACATTTCCTGAAAACGCAAAGATACATACCCACAAACACACGCATACATACATCCACGCAAACAAACAAACAAACAATCTCTCCGTTTCACACCTAAGCAAACATACAAGCATCCACACTTAAACATGTCGGACCCAGCGCATCCCAAGACGCCAACGGGTGAGGAGGCTGCCACCAACAACAATAATGCCGCTCCCTCAAAGAACGCCGACAAGAAGCAAGCGAAGCAAAACGAAAAAGAAGCCCGCAAGGCCGCACGCCTGGCGGAGGAGGCTGCCCGCGCAGCTGAGAAAGCGGCGCTTCTGGCGAAGTACGCCGACGTTTTCGGCATCGCCCCGCTGATTCAGTCGACGACGTACGGCGCAAAGAAGTATAGCGACATCTCTTCCTTATCGAAAGAGTCCATTGGCTCGGTGGTGACGATTCGCGCCCGCGTGGACACAACGCGCAAGAAGGGCAAGCTTGCCTTCATGGTGCTGCGTGACGGCGTGCACTCCCTCCAGGCTATGGCCGCCGTCACGGAGGACGTGCCGAAGGAGATGGTCGACTTCATTGGTCAGATCCCGTGCGAGTCGGTGGTGGACGTGGAGGGCACCGTGTGCGGCGTGGAGCAGCCCATCACGGCCACGTCTCAGCAGGACATCGAGCTGCGCATCAGCAGGGCGCACACCATCAGCGAATCGCAGCGCGTGCTGCCCTTCACGCTCGAGGACGCCGCACGCCGCGAGGACGCAGAGGGCATCAAGATCAACTTCGACACGCGACTTGCGTGCCGCTGGCTCGACCTCCGCACGCCGGCGTCGAACGCCATCTTCAAGATGCAGTCGCGCGTCGGGCAGTACTTCCGCCAGTTCCTCATTGACAATGACTTTGTAGAGATTCACTCGCCAAAGATCATCGCCGCCGCGAGTGAGGGCGGCGCCAACGTGTTCAAGCTGGGCTACTTCAACCGCACTGCATATCTCGCACAGTCCCCGCAGCTGTACAAGCAGATGGCACTCCAGGGCGACCTGAAGCGCGTCTTTGAGGTGGCGCCAGTCTTCCGTGCAGAGAACAGCAACACCCACCGCCATCTGACGGAGTTCGTTGGTCTTGATGTGGAGATGCGCATCAACGAGCACTACTATGAGGTGCTCAACACGGCAGAGGAGCTCTTCTGCTACATGTTTGCCCACCTCGCTCAGCACAAGGCAGAGCTGGAGGCCATCTGTAAACAGTACCCATTCGAGCCGCTAGTATGGCAGATGACACCGGAGCGGATGTCGCAGCTGGGCGTTGGTATCATTGAGGAGGGCACAGAGCCGACGGATGTGTACAAGGCACGCGTACGCAACAACGACATGCGTATGCTGCGCATCAACTACCCGCACTGCATCGAACTCCTCAACACCGTTCTCGAGGAGAAGTTGGAACCGACAGACGACATCAACACCACCAACGAAAAGCTTCTGGGCAAACTGGTGAAGGAGCGCTACGGCGTTGACTTCTTCATCTCTGATTGGTTTCCGTCGGCTGCGCGACCCTTCTACACAATGCCATGCCCCAACGATGAGCGCTTCACGAACTCGTACGATATGTTCATCCGTGGTGAAGAGATATCCAGTGGGGCGCAGCGTATCCACGATGCTTCACTGCTGCTGAAGCGCGCGCAGTCACTCGGTGTCGACCTGGCGCCGGTGGCCGACTACGTTGACTCGTTCCGCCTCGGCGCGTGGCCGCACGGCGGCTTTGGCGTCGGACTGGAACGTGTGGTGATGCTGTACCTTGGCCTGCACAACGTGCGGCTCGTGTCGCTCTTCCCGCGCGACCCGCAACGTGTGACGCCGTGAGTCCCGGCCTTGATTCGTTTTCTTTTTTCGTTCCTTTTTTCAGCGTGTTGTTTTGTTTCCGCCCCGGCCCTTCCCCAGCTGGGGAGGGGCGTCTGCCGCGGGAGACGTGCACGGAGGTGGGAGGGGGGAGGGCGCAGGCCCACGTGTGCGCGTGCGTGAATATGATTTTAATGATAACGACGAAAACGAAAGATGGGGGGCATCAGCGACGGTCGGTGGGGGGAGGGGCGAGAGGCATTGGCTGTGTGCTGCCCAGGTGCACCGCTTCACCTCACGCAACACAGCCACCTACCACGCGGCGCCTTGTGTGTGTGTGTGTGTGTGCGCGCATGAGTGCTGGTGGGGGCTTGATCACTGAGGACCCACAGTGTTTTTTTTCTTCCTCTTTCGCCTCTTTTTTGTTTGTGACCTCTTGGCGTCTCATTCTTTGTTGTCTTTCTTACTGACTCGCTGTTGAATTGATTACGCACAGCAGGACGAAGCCATCGCGTAGGAGCTGTTGTGGGGTATTCGCGCATACACGTGGCTGTCCATAGGGGAAGGTGACCGAGTGAACACTCTCTCAATTCGTTGCCCAACAACAACAACAACACCACCACCAAGAATAACAAGAAGACTAATAAAAACATCAAGCAAAAGGGAGAAGTCCTGAAAGTACAAAAAACATATATATATATATATACACACACACACGAGGTGTCTCATATCCATACGAACAGCAGCTTCAATGGACTCTTCGTTGAAGGCGGACGTAAAGGAGTACATCCCATCGTGGGCTCGGAAGTCGGCTCCCGTGCCACCTCCCGCCGCTGCCACCGCCGCTTCACAGCCGCGCAAGACTGGCTTCACGACATCGATGACATCAACCAATGTTGTGNCCTCCCGCCGCTGCCACCGCCGCTTCACAGCCGCGCAAGACTGGCTTCACGACATCGATGACATCAACCAATGTTGTGACCGCACATAGTACGTCAGCTGGAGCCGGCGCCTCGCCGTACATACCATCGTCGCATACGATGGCTGCTTTGCCGGGCCGCAGCCCGACGGCGCTGCGATATCCCACACGAATGAGCCCGATGCATGCACCATTTCCTTCAGTCACATCAACAATGAATCCCGACGCGAAGGACTTCATTCCGCACCTGTATGGAGCCGGTTCCCTGGCGCCTCTACCAACGTCGACAGCGGAGCTTGCAGAGGAGCAGGAGCGGCAGCAGCAGGAACAGCAGAATCATACTCCCAGCAGCATCAAGTGGACGGCGACGTCAACGAGTAATAACAACACACATCCAGCGGTGTCGCCCGCGTTTAAGGCCAGCTTCACACCAACCAGCGCCCCGATCCATGTGGAGAAGACGGAGGAGGAGATTTTAGAGATTAGCAAGCGCAGCTCCCTGAAAGCGGGTGCCGTGGCTTTCGTCCCGCGCCGCACGCTAAACCGCATTCTCATCAATAAGCCTTCTCCATTCTCGTTGACACCAGCGACAGGGGAGATGCCACTAGGTGACCTGTGGTGCCTCTTTTACCTTCCCGCCGGCACTGGCGAGAGCATCCGGGAAACCACATACGACCCGGCGCTTGTGTTCCGCGTAGACTCCGTTGCCACATTTTGGAAGGTCTTCAACAACGTACCGGCGGCGACGTCAATGGAGATCGGGACTCTCTACTTCTTCCGCGATGGCATCAACCCGAAGTGGGAGGACCCAGGGAATTGCGACGGCGGTATGGTTAAGATTAAAGTAGCCTCTGACCACATCGACGAAGCATGGGTGCTGCTGCTGTGCCGCACTATTGGGGAGTCCTGGTCCAAGTCGGTGCGCAACACTGTCAACGGCGTCGCTCTTAAGGTGCGCGAGCGCGGCTACGTGTTGGAAGTCTGGGTGACGAAGCAGAGCCCCGGGCTGATGGCTGACATTGGTGAATTACTGCAGCCGCTCCTCGGCGACGCCTTCCTGACGCAGTACGCGCCCCACTCCGTGATGCAGGAGCGCGCCGCTGCGGCAGCCGCTGCGTTGGCCGAAAGGGAGAAGCGGAATAGGAACAGCCGTCGCCGTCGGTGAGCTGTGGCGTGCTTGTGCGCATTATTCTACACACACGCATTGAGGGTACCCGCCCCCGTTTTTTTCAATGCCAAAGAATCTGCGTTTAAGAGAGAAAAGACAGAAAAAAATGGGACGAGCGAATTGTAAAGGCGTGAGAAAATCGCCTCTCCACTGTTTCGAAAAGTTAACTAAATCCCGCGTGGGCATCCGTAACAGGAAACCCGAACAGAAACAGAAATGAGAACAGGAAGAACGGAGGAACAGCAACAGCAACAGCAACAGCAAAAAAAAGGAAAGAAATATGCCTGTAGCGGTGTCTCCACGGGTGTGAGTGCTGGTGAGAGGCCGAACGCGCAACACGAACGAAAAAAATTGCGGCCGTGAACGAAGGAAAAAAAAAAAAAA